GCCCATAGCAGTCTCCCCAAGGAGAAGCTGTCAGTACAAACAGCGGAGAAGCAGGATGTTTATCTGTACTTACCATTCAAGGGGGATCACGTTGCAGATGAAATTGGTCACAAGCTCAGGTCCGCTCTAATGCCCACCTATTCTACCGCCCAACTATGACTGATCCACGCTTCACGAAGGATTCCTCTCCACAGCCGTCCGAGTAGCTCACCAATCAGTTCGGCGTCTAACATCACCTACCAGTTCACTTGCAGTTGCGGTGACAGTTACATCGACAAGGCTAGTCGCCGGCTGGCTCAAAGGGTGGCGGAGCACTTCCCATTGTGGCTAAAGCAGTCGCTGTCTCACCAATGCGGAGCGGAGCAAAGTATGAGCGGGAAGCCTGCCTCGTCTATCACCAAACACCTAATGACGACTCGTCACCAGGTGAACCCATTCGATTCATTCAAGATGCTATTGCGCAACAGGAATCCGATGTTGTAGGCAATTGGCGAGGCGCTACTAATAAGGTCGCACTGCCCCATGCTCTGTTCCCAGAAACAACTGAGGCAATCAATTATATTGCCTTGAACCTGATTACGTCATTCACAACAAGTTTATCCGCTTATCTATGTTACTAAGTGCGGACCGTATTTATCGCATGTTTCGTTCTCTCTGTATTCCGCAGCGACTGACGAGAGTAATGGAAATGTTAACATATCGCAACCTATGTGTTCTTACTGGGTTAATGAATTGGTTGAAGGGGAGTCTGTGTTACAAGCAAAACGGTTCGTCTCTTTCAGCCTTCACTATAGGTGCGTTCTTCAATATTGCCACAAATCAGCATTGGTGTTGAAGTATTAGAGACCACCTCCAGCTTCTGCTAGCTTAGGAGTGTGATGTCGACTGAACAGCAACTACAAATTGAGCTTCGTACCCACGTCTCTAAGGCAGCGGCAGCATTCGGGAAGCCAGAGTGCCGAGTGTGGAACAAACACAAGCCTACGGTCGGCACGAGGCTGATGGTGCAAAAATCCATGGTGCTGTCCCTACTTCTATGCGGCAGCGAAGCGTGGACGAAGTGCCGGCGGAATGGGCGATATCGCGAGCGCTTCCATCAACAGTGTTTGCGACGGATTCTACGCATCGGTTGGTGAGACAAAATTGCAGCCACAGAAGTGTTGCGTCGAAATGGGATGTATGCAGTGGACTGTATACTTTTGCTGAGACACCTGAGGTAGCTCGGTCATGTGTGGCGTATGGATTCGACGCGGATTCCAAAACATCTGAAGCGGCATGTGAGGAAACCGAAGCTTCGTTACCAGAACATGATCAAAGTGAGTCTCTCACGTTCTAATCTTGATTGCAGGTCATGGGAATCGAAGGAGGTTGATCGGTGTGCATGGCGCGATCTGATCACCAAGTCCGTTGCCGAGTTGCAAGAGAAAGCACTCGTGCATGCAGAGAAGAAACGGAGAGTGCGGAATCGGCAGGCGAAATTGCGTTGTACTCCATCGACATCGAGCGCATGGTGCTGTAGCACCTGCGGTCGCGAATGCCTGAGTAAGATGGGTCTAGTGATCCATAAGCCAGGCCACTCGGGACCATCGCCGAAGTGACGACAGGTCCTGCGAAGAACGTATGCAGAACCGGCGCAGAGTTTGTAGTTACGTTACGTTCGATTTACTAACCGCTTTCTTGCAAGCTAGGTCTCTCTATTTCAGGTGGTGGGTTTGCTATATTGTCTCAATAATGTATACGTGAACTACCTTCTATTAACTAACACACGTCGCTCAACTTAATTGTATTTATCTTTGATAATATTTTCGCTTTTGTGATGTCTTCTTAAAATATATTTTCTGACGTCTTGAACCTAGACCGGATATTTCGGCAACCAATTTATTTCATATGTTCATTTATTGAAGAGCTATGTCGGCATCTCTGTATGCATTATTCGATTTATTATATTTGTTATTGTCGTCTCAATTGATTGGCTGTTGCTTGATATCCCCGGTGCAGCTGCGCTTGAGGTGCATGTTGACAAGGTGCCTACCTGTCTATTACCCACTACCTCGTCCATACTGGCTCCAGGCGACAGTTTGTCGTTGCTGGAGTGGACGGGGTGCACGTGCTTGTGGCTGGGATAGGCTCAGAGAGTATCTCCATGCACTCAGTTTGGAGCGGACAACGTTCCAGCCACCTCCTTGTATGTGCTTGATTCCCAAATACAGCGTGCTTGTGTTTGCCTATGAAGGAGTGTGGGCCGGCACCACTGATGAAACGTGGCTCCCATTCACATGCCTCCCGGTCTTATTCCTTCGGGTTTACACTAGATATTTGATGTGTGGTTGGAGCATTGGGTGGTGCAGCGCAAATCTTTAAAACTTCGTTACTTCATAGCAGACCATTTTTCAAAGAATTGTTCATACTAAAAGTCGGGGTAAAAGGAGGAGGAAGCAAGCTGATCTACCTCCATCAGAACACCTTGAAGTTCGCCGGTGTGGTAACACTGAGTTGGTGACCGAACCTGACTATTAAGCGGCCAGCGTTTTAGATGTCATTGATAGAGAGAAATATAATCAACAAGAAAATGAAGTCGAAAAAGCAAACGTAAGCAAGAGGTATATGGGTAAGCCATAAATAGATTGGGCAGCTCAGAAGCAAAACTGCGGCGAAAAAGGGAGAAAAAGAATGCAGGAGTGCCGACGGTATCTTGCTTCATAACTGCAAACCGGAAAAGAGTGCATGTAGACGAGATTTGGCTGAAGGTGTGCATCGTCTTATTACGGCATCTTCCAGAGCATTGTAAACATTAGTCGGGTCAACTGTCACAATTAGATCGCCAAATTAGGCGGGGAGATCCAAGCGAGACGAGACAACAGATTGTTGATCTTATCTAAGCCAAGTGTGACAAGTTGCTTGGCAAATGTTGCTTATATGACCGTGAAGCAAAAGCAGTGTCTATCTCCATAAACAGACGAACAACTAGAGTGACTGAAAGAAAAGTCTGCCTGTCCTCACAATACTTAGAGACTGAGTCCATGGTTCCGAAAATATTAACCACTCAGTGAAAATGGATGAAAAGTTGTCAGGAAATGGACCAGGAAAAATTGGTACGGACTCACCAGAAAAGGCGAAGATAGTTGCAATCGGAATCTCCAGCGTAGTGGACAATGATTCGGAACGGCGTCACCAATGTAGTGACGAACTTGATTATTGTCATTGATGATCCTAGTCAGGGTTACTAAGGTAGCGTGAGTGGCCGACCCACGCTAACAGACTATTGGCGAGTATCGTTGCCAGTGATGGAAAAGAGAAGGCACGGAAGTGACTGCACGAAAGTGCATTGTGGTACACGCTGTTCCCGTATATTAGCTGAAAATACGACACCGAACGACGCAGCTAGCTAGGGAAGGATGTGAGAGACCGCGCGATGCAGCGGCGTATTGAATCCAACCGTGGCGCGTTGTGTGAATTTTGTGTGTGTATTGGGGCAGATAAACCAATGCAACCTCCATATCAGCATTCTGCAAATAACCTCTAGGTGACAAACGAATATAACATTATTAGTGTTTTACACAATGTACTCTGGCAATCCGGGGGACCTCCAGATTGCTACAATGATCCGAGTGACAGTGCGGCCTTGTTCACATTAGTGAAAGTGAACTTCGTTGGCAGATATATATAATCATGGTAAAAAATAAAAAATAAATGGCATTTACCTCGGTGATGCCAGGCGCAGTCCACATATGTCGTCTGCTCAATGTGAAAGGCTAAATGAAAATGGTAGATCTCGGATCCATATACTATAAACTTTATAGTATTCGTCCCAGCAGCTCACAATTTACATAGCACAACGCCCATCCGGAAAAGAGGCAGGCGAAGGTTTCGCCATATTGGCGCTCATCAGTGGTGCCCATCCTTCGGTCCCCTACTGGGGATCGAACCCATGATCTCTAGAGGCTGATGCCGACTAATCAGCATCTTATGCGACTGCGCCATGGGAGGGAGATAGCTGAGCATCCTGGGTTAAAATCCAAATTCGATTATAGCCCAACCTATCCTACATACCGAGTTTATCAATCAATTTCGTGTTTGCCTAATTCTACAAACCATTTGGAAGTTAGAGGAGAGGTGCAGCCAAACATCACTATTATCAAACACAGTGTGCCGTTGGTTTTGTGCAATTTCGGTGGTCCGTGGTAGCGAGGCTTTCGGAAGCTTTGCGGGTTAAAACCTCGCATATACAGGCTCCAAAAACGATATCGCTGTTATTCCGTAAACATTTAGTGGGTAATGTCTGATCGCGTTTGTTGTTATCATCTTCTAGCAAGTCAAATATTACTACGGCACGGTCAAATCCTGATGACACTTGGTCTAACTTTTCCATTGACATACCACCTACTCATTTATATATTTGTGTTTGTACTTCTGAATTAATTGCAAACTTGCTTAGGTTTTCTCGATGGTCAACAGTTATGGATTATGATGGGATGCAATATAATGGTCGCGAAAATATCGCGATGTAAAGAGGTCAGCATAGATTCAAGTGGTTGATGGGACGCGTTCCATGCGCACACTGGTCAGAATATCGTTCCGGTCGCTGCATGCTAACTATGGCATTAGGGAAGCGCCTAAAAATGTTACAGGTATTGCAATACTGCTGTTTACCACGAATCTATGCTGGCCTTCATCGCCTGTTGTACTGTCATTAACAAAAAGAAACAGAGCGTTCCACTTCTGCAAACAGAGGATACAACTGGCCCGTCAAATTCAAATTTAAACATCTAGATTTTGCACCCAGTTGAAGGGACGGGTACTCGCAATATCCACATTTTTATGTAAAACTAAGCTTTTTCTCTATTATTCACCACTGTCTCCTTTGGTGACCACCTGTCACACATATTTTAGCGCACTTTTCGTAGGATCTTTACACTGACGGCTCATCGCTTGTGGCATACGAGACATGTGCAGGCACGACAATGGCTACGATGGAACTTTTCATCTTTTGTTCCATTTAGTGGGTCCAACTTCATCACACACTCGCGGACACAGTCTTCGTTTTACAGATGATCGAGGAACGTTTTCTCTACATATTCTGACAGTACCATCACTGCTTGCGTTGGAAAGGCATCTCCCGCGCGATAGTGGTGGCCAACTAGTGGCAACTATTCATTTACCTTGACTTGTCTTGATTTTACATCTGCAAGGTAATTACTTGGACCTTCCGATTTTCCTCCCGTTCCACGTCATATGCATGTATTTCCTCCTAAATTATCTGCATTCGGAAGAAAATACTGTTTTCCGTCGATTCATTGTAGACGTCCACAGATCATTTTATGAAGCTTCTATTTCGCTACCTAATTCTGGTTATCTCAACTGAATCGGTAGGATATTCTAATCAATCTCCATCTTTGGGTTTTATTATACCCGTCATATATTTGTAATTGGGAGCTTCAGCATATAACTTTGTTTAGAGGGTTTTTTGTTGCCCCGCACTGGATAATTTATAGGGGAACTCCATTTTACAATTTTAAAGGAACCCATAAAGGTAATCAAAAGGCAATGTTAGCTAACATCTGTTTTCGGTAATTCTTCATCAGGCTAGTACGAATATATGCCAGTTAAATTGAGTAGACAGATTGCTGAGGTCGTTAAAACGGGGTAAAATCAGTTTACAAGAATACAGCTAGCGCCATTAATCAGGTCGATGTCGGAGCCTTCAAGCGATCTAAGTGAGTAAACCCACTATTCGATGAGACCAGGGCAGTTATAAGATCTGAACATATCGCTTCTGAGTGCACAAGTTTGGTTCATACAATCGGATTTCTATAGCTTCAGTGGCTTCTAGTATCCATCTGCGTATATACCTAGATCGATTAGCCGGGGCCTTGTAGTCAATTTGGAATGCGTCTATTATTATTAGTCTATCTATTAGTCTATCTGAGGAGCATTTGCTTGAATGCTTTGTTCCTACTGCGAACCAAACCCTTGTTTCGCTATCTTTTTATTTCATCCAAAGATCCCTTATCGCTTTTCCATATTCCGGTAAATGGTTACTACAGAGATAATTTTGCCTCCGAACTGAATTAACGGTGAAAAACCTTCCCTTTCTAGTCACTCATGCTGACTTCAAGCAAAAATACCCCCCACTCAGTTCAGTTGTTTGGGACTTGCGGAAGAGCAGCGAAAAGCACGATTGCTCTGGTTGACCCCATCTAAATGACGATTTTACTGCCCCTCATTTTGTTACTCACCGCCGGTTGGAGTCAACAATCTTACTTTAATTTTGTTTCTAACATTTATTTACCTGCGTTGTTATCCAAAGTTGTTATGGATCGAATAGCGATGTTTCCAGTACCCCTGCATGTAATTCGTTGATCATGCCCACACAAGCATGTTTCGTCGAAAATCAAGAATTGGTCCGCATCATCACTTTGATGGCACCGGACGAGTGAGCACCATGTCTCCGGCGTAATTGTGTGGGAGCACGAACGGCACATCATGCGGCACTCCGTTACGGTTGGGATGAAGCCACAATGCTCAGCATACAACTATTTAAACCAGAGCCCACTTTCTACACTAGGTCATATGGCTGTCAACTAGAAATCAAACAAACCGGGTACTTTGAAGTATGGAGTACCCTGTATTAATTTGGATAGAACAATAAGAGGACGAATGCTGCAAGATCGTGCCATTTCGTGCTCACCGTCCACTTGAAAACGGATCACACAACAGATGTTAATGTGACAAAAATCAATGAGTTGAAATCGGGCTACCACATGCAGGCGACAGTAAAAGATGGCTACAGTTGCTGGTTCTGAAAGCTAACAAAGGTAACGGAATTGTCATCATGGATGAATTGAATTATGTAACATGGTAGAAGTACTCCTGCAAGACAATTCGAAATATTAGGGGGATAAATTGGGACAAATTTTGACGAGATTAACCGAACAGCTGATAATAGTACTTGTTCATGGAATGATAACACAGGTGTCATCCAACACTAGTAATCCGATGGACATCGATATTCACCGAATTTGTAGTCTACCAAAGATTCATGAAGATGTTGTGTTCCGCTCAAACTAATTCACCGTAATTCACTGTATCAAACTTAATACGTTGCCTGAATGATATACTAACTCCAGATAGAACAAAGTTTGAAGAGGGCGTCTGAAAGAATTCTTTGAATTACTTGAAAATACTAAAGAAATTAACATCGCTGACGAGTTGAGGTATTCCATGGACTTTTAGCAACATTCCTTTGGGAGAAACGGTGAACTTCGTGTGCGGCTCTCATTAGTGAGAAATTGCCTCTGCCGATTCCTGTTGAACACCACGGATTTGGTACTACGCTGTACGGAAAATGTGTAGGTTATATTCGAGGGATAGACAAATCGACAAGTTAATGACGTGGAGTTGGGAAGTTCAATTGACTCTATCCTGACAGACATCTTCATGTCGATGGTCGAGTAGGGTGTGAGCCAGACATCAGTCGAATGTGCCTCTACATTATGTTCATTGACGACGCTTTGGTAATCGCACCATCTTAAGTTTGCTCAGATACTTTTCCAAGTTGTGAATCTTGCACATCCCAATGCCCGCTTTGCACCTATAATAGTAGGTATATTTCTCTCTAAGTGAGAAGCTGCGTCCATATTTGGCACAGAGCATGTATGTACAGATAACACCATGCTCTTGCATAAGAAATATTTCATTGTGACCGATACAAAACCACGTTAGATTCCTGGTCGGTTAGAGGTACAGTCTAACTTGATGTTACGATTCTGGACCTACAGCACAATGGCAAGGTGCAGTTGTTTTATTTTTGCAATTCCAAAGCAGTTTCCTAATTATTTATTGGCGGGCATGGCCAGTTGATCGAGTAAACCATTCGGGATGATTGAGAGGTTGTCAAAAAATAATAAGTGTAGATTAATCCAAATATATATAATTGAAGTAATACGGCCATTCATGGAACCGTATACTGGGGACTTACTTACCTCCATGCGGGTTATTCCTGCAATAGGTTGCACCCGCACTTCCATGCCGCATACGGCCGTGTGCTGGTGTGGCTTTTAAAGCAGGTAAGGCATCACCTATGTGAGTCATCTTTAGGGTTGTTTTTCTACGTATATATAGTGTGGACAATCATGCTATCTAGCCCGTGTCATGAATCGCTTTCTTGAGACAAGCACTTTTTTAACTCTAGGAAACCAATGACAATGCGCTTTGCAAGGGTACAACAATTAGTCTTGGAAGTTCCAATCCATTGCCTCAGGAAATCGAACTGGCCGTGGTCAACAATGAAATAAAGCAGAATTTAAATTATGTGGGGGTAAAAGAGAAGTAACCGTAATGATACCTAATAAAGAAATAGGATGTTCTGCTTCTACGCATGGAAGACAGACCGATCAATTTGAACAGGGAAAGTGTCCAAAACGGATGGCTGCTCGAAGTATCTATATGTAAGAGAGTTCGAATAAGAATTCTCTAGTTCATCGTCATGTGCATGCATACGAACAATACAGGAACTGATGGCACTGAGCAACGGGGCTTTCTCTCTGTTCCTGGGCTGTCGCTTCCGTGAAGGAAGAAAAATATGTAAGAGTACGATAGGAGTGTAAAACATAGAGTGATATGTAACCGAAAATAAAACAATACTTTATAAATCGATAGTACGAGACACGCACCGTGTGCTTTACCCGATCAAATTTGCAGTCGGATCGTCAAGAACGGTTTGCATTCAGTCCCTTCCTATGGAAAGTGTTAACGACTCGATGTTTCAGCAGTACATCCATATGATGAAGCCGAGGTTTGTACGGAGTGATATCGACGGGTTTCGTTAATCACTCCGTAATTTGTTCGTTGATACCTCTGAACAAAAAGAGAGTTAGTAAAAAGTGCGAAAAATGTCCCTTTATGAGTAATGAACATAGTAGGGGTGGGTCTACTTCGAAGCAGATAAGTTAGTTATTTGCTAAATGGCACTCGGCTGTTCCTCATACAACGTGGCTATACTCAAGTCTATAATTTGCTTGTCCCCCACTTTACTCACCGTCAGTTCTCTGTTAACTGGAGTACGGAAAACACCATTTGCGTATCATGGTCTCAGATTATCTGGTAACCTGTTCCACAAAATTGCGTAGCGGTTAAGAAAGAAATTTTATCTTGAGCTACTTCGTGCTTCTCCAATTTGTAACATATTGCGTCTATTCCTTATATCCTACTGGAGGAATGGTTGAAGTGCAACCTCCATGTCTTAGGTAAAGAGGCGTTTGTGGATGGTATCAAACATGAAGTTCATGTTAAGTTTTAACCTCCTTAACCAGAGGGGTTTCACAGAAATGGTCATAGTAAGTAAGATCACCAGAGTTTCTCATTAAGTGATTCATAAAGGAGCGCTGCACATTTCCTATTCCCGTACTGTCACTTTTTCTCAACAATATTCAGCAATATTCAAATAGGGGGAAAAGGTGATTTTTTTTATATAGGTCGACTTTCGATTCATTCAAAAAAAAGATTTTAGTAGTAATTCGCCTAGTTTGCGAGCTATTTTCAACAGTATACTGCATGTGTTCCACGGACTTGAAGCAGCTCGATTAGTGTAACCCAAAATAATGAATTGTGAGACAGGTGCATAGTGTTTTACCGTCCAACATCAAGGCATTTGGTACAATAATGCACCGGTAGTATATGCAGCAGTACTTCTCAGATCAGTGTTCCATTTTCCATTCGCTGCACCATGTTTCCAGTTCATGCAGACCGGCGTGCATATCGGCTATGGAGCTAATGAGATTGTAGTGGACTCGGACCCAAAGAGAAATAAAGATGAATAAATGATGGTCAGAAATGACAAGA